CCCTCCCCCCCCTCGCCTGGCAATATCGATCGCCGGGCGGTCACATCTCGCTACGCACTCGAATTGGACAGTGGGCAGGGCAAAGACGACGATTTTCGATAATTTTTTTCTCGTTAACTATTGCGAAAATTGCAAAATGTTTCAGGACTTTTCTGTTCATCTCGATCCGTTCTACCTTCTCACGAGCTCTGGGACAAATGTTATAACTCACCCTGTATATGTCGATGGCCGAATCAGACTAGAGTCCCTGTAGTAAGAGTCTGGCAAGAAATATTCTCCGTTTGATTGGTTTGACGCAAAATGGCGGAACCAATAAGGTGTCTTGAATCTGTACTCTGAACGCGGGATTATTATTATTTGGTTATCTTTGGTCTGTTCGTTATCGCTGCATTACTGCACTAGTGCAATTAACTAACTGCACTAGTGCAGTAATGCAGCGATAACGAACAGACCAGACGCCATTTTGCGTCAACCCTTGCCAGACTCTTACTACAGGGGCTCTAAATCAGACTAGCAATTGCAAACGCGGATTGGATTGGGATTGGCGACAGTGTTGCCGACTTTACATTTCTCCACGGCGTGGAGAGAAAGAAACAGCAGATATGTCCGCGCTCTTCTCCGCGTCCGACGTAAGCCGAGCGCTGAAGGGCTACCTCCACTCTACTCCCTCCACGCGCTCGACTGCCATGCAGAGAAGCAAAGTCGGTAACACTGATTGGCGATTGACGACTGTCCTCTAGCCAATGAAAGTGGATTAAATCGCTGGCTGCTTTGCTTTCATTGGCTAGAAGACAATCGCCAATCACCAATCCCAATCCAATCCACGTTTGCAATTGCTAGTCTGATTCGGCCTTAAGGTAAACCGAGCTCAGCTAATCTGAGTGCGCCCTCCACCATATCCCCATCATCAGCCATCTTGGATACAGTGGCTTTCGTCGGGGAACACTGCACGCAAGTAGCGACGTAGTGCATACTGTTTACAGCATACTGTTTACAGTGAATAGGTGCATTTGACCTCAACAGCGAGCCCGATTCCATCACAAATATGGAAGAGACAATGAATATCGACGATTCATCTTCGACTCGTACAGGTAAATTTAAAGTAAAAATTGTTAGTGCATTAGGTTAGTGCATTAGGTTATATTGGCTGCGGTCAAGCTACCGCTGCAAACGCTTCGAAGCGTTTCTCTTCTCTTTCTACCTTTACTGAAAGAAAAGAGAAAACGAATACTTCGTAACGTTCGAAGTGATAGCTTGACCGCAGCCACTGTTACGCACGCGTTTTGAACATCCGGTATCTGTTTGTTTCTTGAATTTTAATATACTTTTGAAATAATGTTAAATATATTGTAGAAATTAGCACGATTGTATCATGTAGATGGCACAAAGAGCAGCACTGCAACGTTCACATAGAAATGTAGACAATGAAAAAAACGTCTTCTTGCTGCAATTTTAGAAGCGGCGAATAATTCGCCAAGCAAAGGAGGGCAGGAGCAGCAGCAGCAGTCGCCGCAGCCGCAGCCGCAGCCACAGCAGAAGCAGCAGCAGCAGCAGCAACAACAGCAGCAGCAACAACAGCAGCAGCAGGAGCAGCAGCAGCCTTCAGAAAATAAACTTCTAAAGCTGCAGAAGCTGCGCAAAGAAATGCAGAACCTGCAAAGTGAGATAAACACCCTGCAACGTAACACTGATGGAAGCAGCGGTAGGGGCAGTGGCTGGGTCAGAGGCAGGCGCAGCGGATGGGGCAGAGGCAGGAGCAGAGATTGGGGCAGAGGCAGGAGCAGCGGCGGTTGGGACAGAGGCAGAGGCATAGGAAATGCCAGAGGAAGAGGTAGAGGAAGAGGCAGAGGCATAGCAAGAGACAGAAGACAAAACTTTACTATAATCTACCAGAAATATGCAACTTTGATACTAAATATATTTTTTTTAAATAATACAATTGTGTATATTTATTCTTACCTAATTTATTTTTCAATTATGTGCTTTAGAAATCGTTTTAGAGACTCTCAATATATTGTAGGAATCGTTTTAGAGATTGGCTCAATATATTGTAGGAATCAGAACTATCGTATCCAATAGACGGCCAGGGAGAGCAGCATTGCAACGATCGCGTGCAAAATACCAAGAACGGCGAAAATTACGCGTTCTTGCAGCAATTGCAGAAGCAACGAATAATTTGCAAACAAGCAAAGGAGGGCAGGAGCAGCAGCAGCAGCAGGAGCAGCAGCAGCCCTTTGAAAATAAACATCTAAAGCTGCAGAAGCTACGGAAAGAAATGCAGAAACTGCAAAAGGAAATAGAGACACTGCAAAATAATAGTGATGGAAGCAGCGGCAGGGGCAGTGGCTGGGTCAGAGGCAGGAGCAGCGGTTGGGTCAGATGCAGGAGCAGCGGTTGGGGCAGAGGCAGGGCTAGGGGCTGTGGCAGTGGGAGGGGCATAGGAAATGCTAGAGGAAGAGACAGGAGACAACATATAACTATAATATATCAGAAATATGCTACTTTGCATTTATAACACACACACGCACACGCGCACACGCGCACACGCGCACACGCGCACACGCGCACACGCGCACACGCGCACACGCGCACACGCGCACACGCGCACACACACACACACACACACACACACACACACACACACACACACACACACACA